CCCCCCAATCAAAACTCAAATCCCCCAAGCGTTAGAGCCCTCGTTTATTTTCGTGGGTGACGTCACAGACACGTGCCAAAGCAGTCCTATTTATAACATATTTAAGGGGAAGCAACCATTTGAAAAATATCTGTCGAATTAGTTATTACGGAGCTACGTTTCCTGAATCTATCTTTCCCAGTTACTATGAGAGTGGCAACAATCATGTGACTGTGAGTGATTGTTGTTGTTGTGAGGGGTTGTTTTTGTTTGTTGTGAGCGACGTAGAGACACCCCTCTGTCCTGTCCCCCTCTCACTCACATCATGTTGCTGCGACCACTTACTACGACACCGGCACGGTGGCCTTGTACTTGTACAGACGTCCGCCTCGCGCCGGGGATGTGGAACCTGGGTGGTCCCCTCGAGGGCGAGGGTTCCAGCTACGACTGAGCCGAGTCAAACATAAGACTGTCCCCGTCGTTTTATGCAAGGAAAATTATGAAATTATACAAACTGAGCCCAAAAATGTGAAATGATGCGATTCTGTTAATTTTAACGAAGAATGATAAAGGAAAATATCAGAAATTATGGAAAGAATAATCAAATTTTGCTAAATTATGCGGGGTGCATAAAACTACGGGGACAGATAAGAAAGGGTACATCATAAAATAAATACTACTAGCATTTTTCCTGGCCAGGCGTCGACTTTCTGGGATTTCTGCTGGGGCTGGTATTGTTGAAGTTTTCATTAAGAATTTCCGCACATTCCGAACAGTTGCGGATCATTTCGGAGGTGAACCTATTATATTATACATCTCTATAGATGTGACATTGTAACTACTACAACCGAGACTACTGAGAAAAAAATCGAATCAAACTTGTCCAGTTTAATTTTTTGTTTCTCCATTTCGCCGACCATCTGTTTGGAGTATAATGTTGCTTTTTAAAATGTATTAGGATTATTTTTCAAATGAAGTATATATGATAATACTTAATGTTGCAAAATGCAAGAAAAGATACATATTGTAGGCGTATTTGTTTTTTTAAAAAAACATGGCAACTTTTTTCTCTTTTTTTTCTTTTTAGGTTTTATAATTTACATTTACTTTTAAAGCTTCCAAACTTCTCTCATTTGGGAATTATGTATGTAAAAATGGATGACGTGAGCGGATAGAAGAGAAACAAACACACACCTATACAAACAGGGGATGTTGGGGCAGGAACAGAAGACAAAGATACACACATGTACGGGGGCTCTCGTGGTCTACATTAGAGCTCCGGTGTTCGCCTCTCACTCAGTAGGTCGACAACTTTTTTTACTCTAAATAAAAATGTCCCCCTTTCACCTCCTTTCCTACTCTATTACCATGTTCTGTCGTCTGCACTTTCTGCCCCCTCTTCTGGGCTCCTGACTCTTTCTGCTGCCTTTCTACTGCTCTCCTTGGCTCACTCTTACCGCTGTCTTTCAGCCACACCCCGGAAGAGCAGGTAAGATGTAACACCTATCCTTCTCGGATAAGAGCGAAAAAAATCTCGGAGGCCCCATGTACAAGTTTTGCATGTTGAAGATCCCTTGGTGAGCCTAAAGTCGATAATATTATAAGAGTAGTCTTCGCCATCACCCGGGCAAAATTCGAAATCAATTCCTACCAAACTGAAAATGCTTACTGTGTCCCGCGCGCTCATATATTATGACCTTATGCAGTTTGTTTTGAACACCGTAAAACACTTACAAAAAAGAATATATAATACACAAGCTGCATACCGGCACATGTGTATAAAGTATAAAGCGAAGTGGGAACATGTTGGGTGTGAGGGGGCGGGGGTGCAGAAATGTGTCAAATCTTGAATGCAACTCACACTGAATAGCTGCACTCGCTTTTCAAATGAAAAAAAAAAAATCTAAAAGATGAAATAATACATTTAAAAACCTACAAAAACTCAATGAGTGGGTGGCTGTCAGATGTTCCAAGCTGTTGGCCTGCCTCTATTGATGTCCATTCAGTGAGAGGTTAGAGCGCCGGGGGGAGAACCAATCATGCAGTGACACCCACGCATGCGCAAGAATGAGGCGTGAAATTTAAAAGGAATCAAGATCAAAGTATTCAAAGCCACACTTTTTCGTGTACCCGTGGGGGTGTGTGGGTGGGAAGG